TGGTTGTAGTGTCCCCTTGTTAATTTCTGATTATTTAACTATTTAACTCTTTTATATTTCTAATTATTTAATTATTTCGTCAGTGTAGCTAAAGACTTGTCAAATTTGTCAGTCTTTTGAAGAACCAACTTTTAGTTTTGTTGATTTACCTATCTTTCTGTTATCTATTTTGTTTTTCCCTGCCTTAAGCTTTATCATTTTTTCCTTTTGCCAGTTTTGAGTTTATTTGTTCTTTCTCTAGCTCCTTAAGGTATACATTTAGGTTTTCAATTTGAGATCTTTTTAATGCAAGCATTTATAGCTATAATTTTCCCTCTTAGCACTACTTTCACTGCATCTCATAAGTTTTAGTATGTTATGTTTTCATTTTTACTTGTCTCAATATATTTTCTAATTTATTTTGTCATTTCTTGTTTGACACGTTGGTTGCTTAAGAGTGTGTTAATTAATTTCCACATATTTTTAGGTTTTTCATTTTTCCTTCTTGCTGTTATTTTTAGCTTTAGCCTATTGTGATTAGAAAAGATACTTTGTATATTTCAGTATTTTAAAATTCATTAAGACTTATTTGTGACACAAAATATGGTCAGTCCTGGAGAATGTTACATGTATACTTGAAAAAAATGTGTATTCGACTGTTGGGTGAAGTGTTCCCTATGTTTGTTAGGTCCAATTAGTCTAGTGTTTTTCAATTCCTCAATTTCCTTACTGATTTTTTCTCTGGCTCTTCCATTCATTATTGAAAGTTGGTCATTGACATCACCTATAATGATAGAAACATCTGTTTATTTAATTCTGTCAATGTTTCCCTCATAGTTAGGAACTCTTATGTTTGATGCATATATGTTCATAACTGTTAAAATCTTCTTAGTAAATTGACGCTTTTATTATTATATACTGTCCTTTAGCGTCCCTCTTAACAGTTTTTAACTTATTCTATTTTGTCTGATAGTAGTAGAGCCACTTCTCTTTTAGTTACTTGTTGCATTAAATACCTTTTTATCATCCTTTCACTTTCAATCTATGCATGTCCTTAAATCTAAAGTGAGTCTCTTGTAGAAAACAAATAATCGGACTGTTTTTCAATCCATTCTGCCAATCTAATGTCTTTGGGAGGTTTCATTCATTTATATTTAAAATAATTACTAATAGAGAGTTTTCTGTTGTCATTTTGTTGTTTTCTGTATGTTTTACATTTTATTTCCTTACTTACTGATTTCCTTTGTGTTTAGTTGATTTTTTGTAGTGACCAGAGACAAATTATACAATAAACACATTACGCTTTATTGAGAAATTTCTGCCTGTAGTCTCTTATCCCAAGCAAGTCTGTAGATAATATTAATAATTTAACGTCTAATAATTTAAACATTAGAAAATTTCCTTTATGCCCTAATTAGCAGAAAATTTAAGATACTTTGTCTCCCTTCTCATTTCCTTTTGTGTATATTCTATAGCTAGTTTCTTTGAGGTTCATCATGGATTATTATATACAATATCCTATAGTTATAACAATCTATTTTAAACTGATACCAACTTAACTTCAGTTATATACAAAAGCTGTACTCTTTTACAGCTGTACTCCACTTTTGTTACTGATGTTACAAATTACAGTTTTATATATCATATACCTATTAACAGAGATTTGTAATTAATTTTTATTCTCTTGTCTTCTCTGGTCTTGTCTTGGCATGTATCTTCCCTGAGCCTGTGCATGTGCTTTTTTCTTAATCCCTCCTATATACACATGCTTTTAAATGTCTTGATTTCCCTATCAGTTTCACCTCTGCATTTTCTCAAGGACTTATATATTCTGTATTTCTCTGCCTGTAGTCTTTTGCCTCAAGTAAATTTGCAGCTAGTATTGAAAATTTTAATGTCTGATAATTTAATTTTTTTAATTTTATGCCATAATTAACACAGCACAGTCCAATTGTATTATATAATAAATCACCATTTATTTATTATGTAATTTGTTTCTTGTCACTTCTCTTTGACTTCAAAGTCCATATTCTTTCTGTCACATCTCCCCATATATGTAGATTCCAATCATGAAAAATAAATGACAAGACCAGAAGAGAATGTAAAAGTTACAGTAGTTGCCATGTTAGGATGATTGAATTATGAGTGATTTTTTTCCTCCTTCAAAGAGTTTACCTAATATTTTTATAACAAAAGCAATAGATTATAGAATTTTAAACTCAGAAATGCATATAAACAGCACAATAGAGTGAACAGCATTTTAATTTTAAAAATATTAATATTATTTTTAAAAAATTGTGTTACATATTTATATTTTCCTTTCCTCATTTTAAAGCTTTCCTATAGGTAATGATGATAAATAAATGACCATTTCAAAATCTTATTCAAAAAAACAATTATTGGGCCGAGATGATGGGGTTTTCTAAATATACAATCATGATATCTGCAAACATAAGACAGTTTGACATCCTCTTTTCCTAATCAAATGTGCAAACAGAGACGATTTGACTTCCTCTTTTCCTAATCAAATACCCTTTATTTCTTTCTCTTGCCTGATTGTCCTTGCCAGAACTTCCAATAATATGTTGAGTCAGAGTGATGAGAGAGGGCATCCTTGTCTCGTGCCAGTTTTCCAAGGGAATGCTTCCAACTTTTGCCCATTCGGTATGATATTATTGGCTGTGGATTTGTCATAAATGTGTCTAATTATTTTGAGATGTGTTCCATCAATACCTAGTTTATTGAGAATTTTTAGCATAAAGGGCTGTTGAATTTTGTCGAACGCCTTTTATGTATCTATTCAGATAATCATGTGGTTTTTGTCATTGGTTCTGTTTTATGTGACGGATTACATTTATTGATTTGCATATGTTTAACCAGGCTTGCATCCCAGGGATGAAACTGACTTGATTGTGGTGGATAAGCTTTTTGATATGCTGCTGGATTTGGTTTGCCAGTATTTTATTGAGGATTTTTGCATCAATGTTCATCAGGGATATTGGCCTGAAATTTTCTTTTTTTATTGTGTGTCTGCCAGGTTTTTGTATCAGGATAATGCTGTCCTCATAAAATGAGTTAAGGAACATTCTTTCTTTTTCTACTGTTTAGAATAGTTTAAGAAGAAATGGTACCAGCTCCTCTTTGTACGTCTAGTAGAATTTGGCTGTGAATCCATCTGGTCCTGGACTTTTTTTGTTTGGTAGGCTATTAATTACTACCTCAATTTCAGAACTTGTTATTGGTCTATTCAGGGATTCGACTTCTTCCTGGTTTAGTCTTGGGAGGGTATATATGTTTGGGCATTTAGTCATTTCTTCTAGATTTTCTAGTTCATCTGTGTAGAGGTGTTTATAGTATTCTGTGATGGTAGTTTGTATTTCTGTGGGAGTGGTGGTGATATCCCCTTTATAATTTTTTATTGTCTATTTGATTCTTCTCTTTTGTCTTTTATTAGCCTGGCTAGCAGTCTATCTATTTTGTTAATCTTTTCAAACAACCTCTTAAACTGATAAGCAATTTCAGCAAAGTCTCAGGATACAAAATCAATGTACAGAGACTACTTTAAACTTCATATGGAACCAAAAAAGAGCCCACATAGCCAAGACAATCCTAAGCAAAAAGAACAAAGCTAGAGGCATCACACTACCTGACTTGAAACTACACTACAAGGCTACAGTAACCAAAATAGCATGGTATTGGTACCAAAACAGATATATAGACCAATGGAACAGAGCAGAGGCCTCAGAAATAGCACCACACATCTACAACCAACTGCTCTTTGACAAACCTGACAAAAACAACCAATGGGGAAAGGGTTCCCTATTTAATAAGTGTTGGGAAGAGTGACTAGCCATATGCAGAAAGCTGAAAATGGATCCATTCCTTACACCTTATACAAAAATTAAGATGGATTAAAGACTTACATATAAGACCTAAAGCCATAAAAACCCTAGAAGAAAACCTAGGAAATACTATTCAGGACATAGGCATGGGCAAAGACTTCATGACTGCAACACCAAAAGCAATCACAACAAAAGCCAAAATAGACAAATGGGATCTAATTAAACTAAAAAGCTTCTGTACAGCAAAAGAAACTATCATCAAAGTGAACAGAAAATCTATAGAATAGCAGAAAATTTTGCAGTCTATACATCTGACAAAGAGCTAATATTTAGAATCCACAGAGAACTTAAACAAATTTACAAAACCACAACAAACAACCCCATCTAAAAGTGGGCAAAGGATATGAACAGACACTTCTCAAAAGAAGACATTTATGTAGCCAACAAACATATGAAAAAAAGCTTATAATCACTGGTCATTAGAGAAATGCAAATCAAAACCACAATGAGATACCATCTGATGCCAGTTAGAATGGAGATCATTAAAAAGTCAGGAGACAGCAGATGCTGGAGAGGATGTGGAGAAATGGGAATGCATTTACGCTATTAGTGGGAGTGTAAATTAGTTCAACCATTGTAGAATGCAGTGTGGCAATTTCTCAAGGATCTAGAACTAGAAAAACCATTTGACCCAGCAATCACATTAGTGGGTATATACCCAAAAGATTATAAATCATTCTACTATAAAGACACATGCACACGTATGTTTATTGTGGCACTGTTGACAATAACAAAGACTTGGAACTAACCCAAATGCCCATAAATGATAGACTGGATATAGACAATGTGACACATATACACCATGGAATACTATGCAGCCACAAAAAAGGATGAGTTCATGTTCTTTGCAGGGACACAGATGAAGCTGGAAACCATCGTTCTCAGCAAACTAACATGAACAGAAAACTAAGCCTGGCACGTTCTCAGTCATAAGTGGAAGCTGAACAATGAGAACTCATGGATACAGGGAGGGGAACATCACACACCAGGGCCTTTTGAGGAGTGGTGGGCTAGGGGAGAAATAGCATTAGGAGAAATACATAATGTAGATGATGTGTTGATGGGTGCAGCAAACCACCATGACATGTATAACTATACAACAACCCTGCACATTCTGCACATGTACCCCAAAACTTATAATAATAAAAAACAATTTTCAAAGGGGAAGTTAGTTTTTCACCCTCAAAATGTGCTATGAAAATTGAAGATAATCTGAATATTTGTAATTTGTTTCTTTTTCTTGAACGCAGTAATAATTTTAGATATGCTTAATTTAACTTTCTAGTTTTAAGATCAGATTCTAAAAGGCATGTTTTTAGTTATTAACAAAAAGATTTTATGGGAAAAGTTCACCATATGATTATTTACATTTTATTTTTTATCTTTAGTCTCTCCCTGTAAAAGAGAATCAGCACATCATTTACTGTTATTATCAATTTGGATTCTCCATGGTCTTTCCTGGATTGCTCATCTATTTAATACGATAGCCAGCTTCTTGCAAGAAAGGGAAACAAAGCAAAGTAAGAACACATTTGAAACACAAGGTGTAGAAGAAAAAAAGAAGCCAGGCCTTGGAATACAATACTTGTAAGAGTTTTCATTCATCAGGACTGCAGAATGTTTCCACAAAGCCTTTTCAAATGTTTCAGAAGAGAAAGGAGGAAAAGAAAAAAAAAAATCAGACGTTTCTCCACAAACCTCTTATCTGGGTTATATTTCCACAATGAAATTTATTTATGTTAATTTTGTCACTTAATAATAATTTAAAAATATAATGCAAATCTCAGCTTTATTTATCAACCCTCCCCACATCAGCCTTACCCCGTATTTGGATTCAGACTGGCATTTTTATTCAATAGCAGCTTATCCTGAAAGCTGTGTTTCCATTTTTCCTCCACCATGTACTTCAGTAAAGGTAGAAATACACATGTACAAATATGTGGAGTTATTTTCATTGGGATCTATTTCTATATACATTATTTCTGATTATCTAATTTTCTCAAAATTATATGCATTTTTTTTTTAGCTCTCTCAAACAAAAGGCTTATTAACTTACAAAGTATGGCCCAAGAGATTTGTTGTTTCAGAAAGTATGATTCCTATTTCATGGTAGCATCTTTTTTTGGAAGAAATTAGAAAATTTATCCTTTGATCTTATTCAGTGTGATCTTTTTAAAAAATTCAAAGTATGAATTCTTTATATACATAGATACAAAGATGGATATAGATATGGATAGAGGAAAAAATAGATATGGATGTGTGTGTCTACAGCAATGGATAAATGTGAAAGCCACAGAGCCTCTATGTATCTTATCAAAAAGACCCTTATTTCCTTCAGTGGAAGGGCCTAGTTGAGCCAGAGGCTGAAAACCTAGTTCTTAGAGTCACAGTGTTGTAGTGACCTTTGAATGCTCACAGCAGATCTATTATGCAAAATCCAGGGCCCTAGTGGGCATCCTGAAACATGAGATGGAGAAATCTGGATACTCCTAAGATGTTGACTCTGCATTTTCTACCTCTGGACCCTCTGGTCTTGGAAAGGTGGTCCTCCTTTCCCTCATAATAGCATATGCTTCTGTTGTGTTACCATGTTACGTCCCCACCTCCTCTTCTGGTTGCCAGACCAATAACTGGAGCTAAATCTCTACACAAACTGTCAAGAAACATGCTGGGTTGGATTAAGGAGAAAAGATACTATATAACAAGGAATGGCAAGAATTCATTGGTCTGTAACTGGGATTGCGTTTTGAGGGTACTTGATCAAGGTGTACAAAATGTAAAACTGGTCATGCAGGAAATCATTAGCTTGGTGGTACTTGCTTAGAGATAGCATTTAACACGCTGAAAAATGACCCTAAGGGAAGGAGAAATGCACTGCTGGGGTGGTTCTTGGAAGCATGGAAAAAGTGATGGGAAGCACTGAATGAAATGGGAATTCCTGAGTTGGCCCACCAAATGGTAAGGGAAGGTACAGGAAGGAATGAAGAGGTTGAAGGAAGTGGGTATGCTGGAAGAGAGATATAAGGCAAGAGACCAACCAGAAATTATGCTCCATGTTCACTATTGGCCACAGCAGATTTCCTCTATACCTCTTTATGTTCCCATTATCTAGCACTGACTACATTTCTCTGACAGTCATGAGCAATCACATAAAACAACAGCATGGCTTCCATTTTTGCCTTTTACCTCAGTGAAATGGGGACCTCAAACGCATCAGGGACTGTTTCCACTTCCGGTTCAGTGGAACCATTCTTGTCCTCTAGAGGGAGCATTCCTCCTCTGGGTAATAAAATATGTGCCCCAGCACAGGCAGGAATATGGGCATGTAAAGTAAATGAAATTTGTGGGTGGATCTTTCCATGTAATTTTGAGAAATGTCACCACTGTTCCATAGATCTCAGTCTTCAGTCTCAGAGAGAAAGAACAGTGTTAGATTTTGAGCTAAGAGCATATACTACATTGACAGGAAAACATGCTGACTTTACAGTGTTTTTTGCCAGCTAGTGTAATTTGGCCTTCCATGGATGTTACTTTTTTTTTTTTTTTTTTTTTGAGACAGACTCTCACTCTGTCACTCATGCTGGAGTGCACTGTCACTATCTTGGCTCACGGCAACCTCCACTTCCCCTGTTCAAGAGAGTCTCCTGCCTCAGCCTCCTGAGTAGCTAGGATTACAGGCACCCGCCACCACACTCACTAATTTTTGTATTTTTAACAGAGACGGGATTTCACTATGTTGGCCAGGCTGCTCTCAAGCTCCTGATCTCAAGTGATCCTCCCATCTCGGCCTCCCAAAGTGCTGGGATTACTGGCATGAGCCACTGGCCCAGCTGACGTTACATGCTTCTAACACAACAGCTGCTTCTGGGTGAAGGATACGTGAGAATATAAGCACCTCCCATAGGAATCAGTCCATTGCCTTCTTTCTTTCACTGGGAGGTAGGTTCCTTTTCAGAGGTGCTGTGTGATATTTTCATGGAGTAATCAGTAAGTGTTGACAGTGACATAACAGAAAAAGGGTAGAAAATTAAATAGAAATTCAGGTTGTTTATTTCTGTGCTAGTAAGTTGCTGCTTTCTCCATGATAAAATATAATTAACTTGCCAAGTGGGTAAGGTCCCTCCAGGTGAGGTATAATTTACCTAAAACTGATCCTTTTCAGACTGCATCCCAGAAAATGAGATGGCCTTCTGCAAAGCTCCATTGACTGCCTGACCATCTTAGACACCTACACCCCAACTGAGACTTGGGGGGAAAAAATCTCACAGATAACAAAAGTGATCTCTGGAGGAAAAAAAATTTTACTCCCTTAGAAGCTGATACTAGGACATCTGAGGAGTAACTAGAGGCTGTCATTGATTATTTGTATAATGGTGACATCTGTGAAGCTGAATAAAACTAAGTGGAGGGCAGTGTTGGGGGGAGCAGTTAATGTTGGCCCCTTATTGTAGGATTTATTGTGATTAATCCAAAGGGTGCAGACTTGCCTGTCGCATTCTTGAACTGAATGCACAGGAGTAAATATGACTTTTTGACTCTGAAGCAAAAGTAAAATACCTATAGTGAAAATGCAGCTACCTGCAGACAGCCTGCTCTACCCGAAACGCAGGAGCTGTCTGGCAGATTAATTCATTCCCAGCTACAGGCCAAATTCCCTTGGCATCCACCAGTGACTTTGTGGGTCAGAGACATAAAATGATTAATGCAAATACCAGGGCTGGATCCACAAGAAAATGTTGAAGGACAAAAGAGACAGAGTAGATGTAGGAAAAGAAAATACTTGAAAACCAGAACACCAGAAGAGAGGGGAAAAGAGCACTACAGGACATTGCTCACGGGATCTGTATCCCAATACCAGCTTATGAAGCATTTTCTCAGAAATAGATGCTGAACTTTAACAAAGTATTTAGTAGAGGATCATTTTTCAAAATGACTGCTGAGATTTTTTCTTAATTAGTGTATCTTCTATGTCATTTATATTTGCCATTTTAATTTCATAGTTTGTCTCTGAATTCTGGATGAAATATTCTAGAGATTCTTCAAGTTCCATTTTAAGCAGTGTCCATGATAGTATTCATCACTTTTATTATTTAGTACTGCTAGCCTTTTAATTTTAAATATTTTGAATAACTGTTCTTGTTTCAGCACATTTGACACTTTCAAATAAAAGAAAACACTCAAATTATTAAACTGCTTCTCTCTTTCCTGGATCAGTTCTGTTCTAGTCCTGGCTATTTGTACTGAGTGGATCGGCGTAGCCACTATATATGAGCTTTTTAAAACTTCAATGAGAATTTTATAGCTTACTGTGCTATACGTACAGAGACATAACTAAGAAATCAGACATACAGAGGATTCAGATATCAGTGTTCAATTTATTATCTCTATAAAATTGACAATAATTCTTAACTAGTATGCTTAAAAGATAGTTTTGAGATATGAATTTCAGTCATATAATTTTTTCTTTTTTTGAAACGGAGTCTCGCTCTGTTGCCCAGGCTGGAGTGCAATGGTATGGTCTCAGCTCACTGCAACCTCTGCCTCCCGGGTTCAAGCGATTCTCTGGCCTCAGCCTCCTGAGTAGCTGGGACTACAGGCATGTGTCACCATAGCCAGCTAATTTTTGTATTTTTAATAGAGACAAGGTTTCACTATGTTGTCCAGGCTGGTCTCAAACTCCTGACCTCATGATCCCCCTGCCTTGGCCTCCCAAAGTGCTGTAATTACAGGCATGAGCCCCAGCCTATATCTCATAATTTTTAATTTCCTGCCTATATTTATAAATGAGAGTCTTATTTATACACTCTTGATAGTGGTAGGAACACCATAAGCATCCATCCATTTAGCATTTTAGTTCCTGTTATTTTCCAGATACTGTACATGGGTATTTCTCTGTCTTTTCCCATGCTCAATCCCAACTACTAGGGAGGCAATTAGATAAATTCACACTTTAGCGTTGGGAACCACTTCATCCTGTTGAATGAGGGAAACATTTTAGGAAATGGCAGAACAACAAGCTAGAAGCCTGGAAGCTGTTTCACGCCATCCTGGTCTATACTGTTGAGGCTATCATGTAGGAAAGATAGTCTTTAGTATTATTGTGTGTGAAGCCATTCTTGTATTGCTATAAGGAATTACCTGAGACCAGGCGATTTATAAGAAAAGACGTTTAATTGGTTCACAGTTCTGCAGGCTGTACAGGAAGCATGGCAGAATCTGCTTCTGAGGAGGCTTCAAGGAGGTTTAACTCATGGCAGAAGGCAAAGCAGGAGCAGGCATATCACATGTCAAAAGCAGGAGCAAGAGGTGTGGGGAGGGACCATACATTTTTTTTTCTTTTATATATATATATATTTTTTTTTATTGCATTTTAGGTTTGGGGGTACATGTGAAGAACATGCAAGCTTGTTGCATAGGTACACACGTGGCAGTGTGATTTGCTGCCTTCCTCCGCTTCACCTATATCTGGCATGTCTCCCCATGCTATCTCTCCCCAACTCCCCACCCCCCGCTGTCCCTCCCCTATTTCCCCCCAACAGACCCCAGCGTGTAGTGCTCCCCTCCCTGTGTCCATGTGTTCTCATTGT